GAGGCTTGATTTCCTCAGTCTATGACCCTATGCACATTGTAGCTCGATCGTCCAGCACAGGCACTGACGCTTTTAAAAGTCCAGTGTCCCACTAAAGAGTCCACACTTTTCTGCACTCATTAATCTATCTTGTGAAAAAAATGATCAAAAATACGTGGAGAAAATTTCGAAAACTTCTCATTGTTCTTATAATTTTGATCAGGTCAAAAGCACAGTTTTTTGTTCTTCGTTTTTTCTTATCGAAAGAAATATGTTTGAAAAACATCCAGTGTAATATTTGAATAGACCATACTTGGATGTATATATACTGATTTTTAAATTAGTCTAAATAGGAGAAGAGGGGATGAGAACACGCTAACACTTTGAGAAAAGCTCTGTTCTTATAATTTTGGTCAGTACTGTATAGTATCCAAACAGAATTTAGAAAGTACAAAAATGATCTAGAAATACCTTTAAAAAATTCAAGTATTTGAAGTAAATAGTAAAGTGATCAACATATAAAAAGTTACTGTTAAAAGGAAATGAAGTAGATAAAAATGCTTTAGTTATCAGATTTATTAAATTAAACTACTTTAAAATGATAAAGCACTTGGATGGTTTTTTTTACACTTTTTTGCGTCGATAAATAACAAACCATAGGCAGAAAGCAAAAAAATATTTATATCTGCATGTGGAATCGAACCATGGATGAAAGATATAAAGAAGAGAACGCGAAAAGGAAAAGTTTCTGATAATAAAGTATATCAAATAGAAACATTTTTCTGTGTCAATCCCTACCCAGGTCGATCATTTCGGCGACTGGAACCTACGTTTGAACTTGCGGCCGGAACCGACCGTACCATAATAATCTGGGATAAATACAGTTATATAATCTTGAATGATGTATAAAAGACGTAATGATGGTAATATCTATATGTTGAGTCAGAAAAGGTTCAGTTAAGGTGACTTTTCTCCCGTCCAAGCGTAGTAGCTTGTTTCTTTCAAACTTAGTCTAATATTGTATTCTAAGTTTAGGAATGTACGTGTCTATACAGAGAAAAGGAAAGTTCGCATCTAATTTATGATATTCTTTTTGAGAAGAACTATTAGCTTTATTCAAGAATTACTTTACATGAGTTTTTGTTAATACCCTTGTAAAACAACGTCGATATCAGATTGCGTTTTGTTACTGTCTAAACACCAGATTATGATCCTCAAAATCGATTCGTTTAATCTTACTTGATTATTATACAATTCATCAAGTGAATGTCCCTATTCAAATGAATCAACAATTGATGATCTCAGATGATTTTTTGTAAAGCCATTGTTACGTGTTTTGCATCTACAGAAATAAGTTTCTTTTTTTGCGAATTAAAATGTGTAACCTTCATTGACAAAAATAAAACAAAACCAGGTAAGTTAAATAGAATGAAGTGTCAACGTCTCACTGTATTGATCTCCAAATGAGCCAGTGTCTAGATCGTATTTTTATATATTTTTTTTGTGATAGTCAATTCAAAATAAACTCATCAAAGTAAATATTAATTGGATTTTATTCTTGTTCTTATTTATACACACATGAAAGCTTACACAGACATGCGAGTTAATTAAGAAAAAAACATCTACTGTTCTTTTTCTTCTTTTGTTAGTTAACCTTATAGTATAACTTCGACAATATTATTAATAGGATGTATTTGTCGAGCTCGCCATCGATTTAAATGAATGTCAAACAGAACGTAATGTAATTGATGACGAAATCTTTCTGATGTACAAATATAAATATAAAATGAACTCTAAATAAAAATTAAATTTGTGATTATTTAAACAAAAGAAACTCTAAACTTACTGCTGTATAAAGATAATAAATACAAGATGTAGTGGTTAGAGCAAATTGTGTTTGATTAGAGGTAGATGGATTACTAAGAAGAGTTGTATTGGTTACAAGAACAACAAGAATAATGTATTGAGCAATAACTATTGAATTAAAAACAGATTGTGTCAGAACCATTGTTGTTAACTGCTGATCGAGTCGACGACGAACAAGTGGAATAGTGCGATAAGCTATTTGTTTAACATGGCGATAGGTTAATAAAGCAAAAACAATTGTAATTAAAACTGGAAGTGGTCCAAATAAAGTCGTTAGATTAATATTTTGATTATAATAGTCGAAAATTTTATTATTTACGATACAAGCACTTCGGTTCGTCGCAGATAATTTTATTGTCTCAAAAAATATTGACTGAGGAATAGAAATTATAAGACTAAATAGAATGACTATTAAAGATAACCGAGTAGCTATTTTTATATTGCACCATTGTTGCCATTGACGATGATTTGATGTTGCAAAGAATTGATCAATAACTGCTAAACAGGCCAAACTCAAATCACTTAATGGGCAAAATTCAAGTAAATATGAACGAAATTTACAAAAGAATGGAGATATTGCTGTCCAATCGTCAGCTGTTATACTTGTTACAACACGAGACAAAAGACCTGTAAGTAGTTGAATGATTTTAATGGCTGATGATAATGTTAAATAAAAAGCACATGAACTTTCTCGAAATGTTCGAAGACTAAGAAAAACAAATATGTTTAATGATTCACCAATTACACCAAATATAAGAAGAAACGAGCCAAAATAATTTGTTATTATATTTGGATTCAATGGAATACGTGGTACTAAAGTTGTTGTCGACATGAATTCGATTTAAATTATTTTTAAGTGAGTCTGTCCTTTTTTCCTTTGAAGAAAATATCTGAAGTTTCTTTTTTTTTTCTATTCTAAAAGTAATTACATAAACCTTTGATTTCAAGAAGAAAGAAAAATTAATTAGAGAGAAATTTTGTATATTTCAATAAAATGTTTGATGCAATTATTAGATCAAATCATTAAAAATGGTTGAGTTTGAGTCGAGCTTACGCGCGAATAATAAATATCATATTCTAAAGGAGCAGACTGACAGAGATATAGTTTTTGATTATGAGAGAAGCAGGATCCGCCGCTCCCACTCGAAAAAAAAAACAGTCTGGAATCATGAACAAAGACACTACTCAGCAAAGCTCTGTAAGCACCACTCGAAAAAGAAAATATGTCAAAACTACCTGTTGATGTGCAGAAGTTTTTATAAATATATATCCATTAATTTAAATCGTATCATTCGAAGCATAAATTATTATTATCTCTGTTTGGACGTTTTATTCGTCAAACAATGAAAGAAAAGTCACACGCACAATTTGACATACTTGAGTTTCGATATATATGACTTCATCGAAAAAGCGGTATTTTTCGAAGACTCTTATCGTAGAAATTTTTTCTCCGTTTCGCAAATCTAACACATTCAACATAAACTTGTTAGGACTTATCAATGTATAAAAAATACAGCCTGCGACGAGACGATTCTGGTCGATTCAGTATATAAATACAACAGATCCCACATTAAATACCGATTTATTTTTTCATATTTCAGTCGCATAGGCTGTGACGGGAAAACTTTCTTCATGTTCATTATATTTTGTTTCCGCTACAGAATCAAATTAAAATTTCTATGGGAATCCATGCAATTGCTTGGGAACTACTGACGATTGGGTTGAAATGCGGTTGCGACTACGCTCGAAGGAGAGTCGGCAACTTAAGCACGGGAAAGATGAGCGCGGAATGATCAGCACATGAACAATTCAGCGCAGGAAAATTAAGCGCATTGATTAATCAGCATGAACACTGTATTTACTAGAACAATTTATAACTGCTTCTGACTATTAAGAAAATAAAAGACTGAAATTGAATCAGGTTAAAAGCATATGAGAGTAAGGATGAGCCAACTAATTGTTGCAGCTATAATTGTGTCAAAAGATACGACTGTTCTGTTATTCTACTTTATTCCAATATAGCGACAATTTCAAAGTGTCGCACTACGAGAAGAAAACCACGTTTGGATTACGGTAATCATTCCTATGTTATGGATCGATCAGCCAGCGACAAAATCTACTGGCGGTGCATTCAATACTCATCCGATTGCTGTCGTTCTTGTCTTCGCACATGTAATTCTACTAACGCTATCATGAAAAGACCAACTGAACATACATGCAAAATCAATGACACAACGGTTCAACTTAGGATTTTCAGCGAAAACGTCGTCCACCGTGCTGTTAATACTTAAGAAACACCCGGCACTATTATCACTAACTGCTACGGAAGTAATCACACGTAATGTTCTTCTCTAGTGAGACTTTTTCTCATACTCAATAGGTCTCTCAGATCTATCGCTCGCTCGTTTACGAATGCGTGATAATCTTAAGCGTCAAATATGAATGCTACGACAGAAAAACCAATCGGTGAAAAAACCTAATGATCCAAGTTTTCATTCTATTCCTGTTAAATTGACTACAACCTTACGTAACGATCAATTCCTTCGATGTGATACAGGACTGAGTATGTTGAAAACTACTTAATGAAATATCCTTTTCTAAACATTTAATCTTTCTAAATATAGGAGAGGACCGAATCTTGATATGCGCAAGTGATGAACAAGCCGATATACTGCAAGATGCTGAAGAACTTCTGGTCGACGGAACATTTCAAATCGTTCCTGAAATCTCTTATCCACTCTATATTATCCATGGTGTATTTCGTGATCATGGGATTCCATTAGTTTTCGTCTTATTACGTCAAAAAACTGCTGAAACCTCTAAACGTCTTATCGATGAAACAGCAATTGTTGCACCTCGTTGGTTTCCTCGCCCTATCATGCTCGATTTCGAGCAATCTTCCATCAGGTCATTCAAAGCAGCATTTTCTACTATCCTGTTATTTGGTTGCTATTTCCATTTACGACAAAGTATCCGTCGAAAACTGCAGGTGGGTAAAAATACCATAATTCTCTGTCCATTATTAGTTTTATATTTTAATCAATTCAGGCACGAGGACATCAACAAGAATATGAGACAAATGCAGATTTCGCACGCAATATTCACAATATCGCTGCTTTAACCTTCTTGGATGAAAATTCTGTCATAAATGGACTCGTGCATCTTTCAGTGAATCGCACATCTAAATTTGAAGACATACTATATTATTTGGAAGGAACGTATAGCGATAAGTAATGTTTTTCTCCTAGTATATATTCCTGAAAATGTAAAAGTTATGATACTCNCCATAATTCTCTGTCCATTATTAGTTTTATATTTTAATCAATTCAGGCACGAGGACATCAACAAGAATATGAGACAAATGCAGATTTCGCACGCAATATTCACAATATCGCTGCTTTAACCTTCTTGGATGAAAATTCTGTCATAACTGGACTCGTGCATCTTTCAGTGAATCGCACATCTAAATTTGAAGACATACTAGATTATTTTGAAGGAACGTATATCGATAAGTAATGGTTTTCTTCTAAGATAGAGTCCTTATAATGTTACATTTTTAGGACGACTTCGATCAAATCGCACTCAACGAAATCCTCTATCTCCAATCTCTCTTTGGGATGTGCATACCAGAACAAGTCAATCTACGATGCGAACCAATAATTCAGCTGAGGCTTACCATCGACGAATTGACGCAGTTTTCGATTGCACACATCCAACACTTTGGATCTTTTTTGAAAAATTAATTCGTGTAGAAAAAAATATTCGTGCGGATATTCCTCAAGTATGCGCTGGTCAACAATCAAAGAAGAGAAAATTGAATGAACGGCTTGAGCGGCGATCATTGAATCTGCTGTCGAATCATCACCAAGATACTTCGGTAAAAATCAATGCGATAATGAGTTCAATATTTCTTTCAAATAGAATTGAGAAAAAATCTTTTAGTGTGGTTAATAGTGTGCTGATTGATCAATGCGCTTATCTTTCCCATGCTCAGCGTTTACTCTTCTCGCTGGAAGGTTAAAATTACAGCTTACAGGTTTTTTTGCCTTATAATTGGATTAAAACCAACTCTAATCGTATATTGAGTGAAAAAAACGATTTTTTCCGACAGTATTCAGGAATTTTGACCGAAAATTTTAAAAAATCTGGATTATGGCAGATATATTTTCCACTGGGCTTCTTCGCTCCAAAGGATGAGACAGAGGATTTTATAAAGTACAAGTACGTTAAGCGCTGTACTAAGTATCCAATCACTGATGCAAATAAGTATTCGATTAATAATTTTCAGATATTTCTTGGATATTTATTTATTTGAGACTGTGTAAGTCTCTATATGAGTAAAGTTAAAGTCACATAGAAGATAACAGACGAAGTATCATATGACAATAAAGAAAAACAATTTAACATATGGTAATGTGATTGCCCATGACCTATATAGCATCAACGTCGATATGGTGGAGAAAAAAGGGAAGAAAGGTTAAAAAGAAAAAATAAGACAGAAAAAGTGACTATTGAGGGCAAGTGTTTCATTTGATGAAAAAAGATGAAGAGACATGTGATAATATTGATTGGCATACATGTGTCTTGTTTTCTTTCTTTTAGATGCATACACAGAGTAAACACTATAAGGTTTATTATCTTCGCTTTGATTGATAATTCAAAGTTCACGAGAACGATGTACATTCGAATCTATTTTCTTTCTTTGATATTATTCATATCACGTCCAGCTATTAATAATTTACCAATTTGTGTTCATATTTATTTCATTAATAAAGATTTCTTTAATGGATACAAAGGTGAAGAATTTTCCATTTATGATTCGACAAGAGAACATTTACAATATCGTATCGAATCTGATTTTGCTTTTGGACTTAAGTTGAAAGTCGTTAATCAATCAACGAAACAAATCACAGCAATGATAAGACGTCTAAGTAAATGAGGTGTTTCTCAAGCGAATTTTGCAATTATTAAGTCATCTTTAAATCAGTACATAAATGGAACAATTGAAAAGGGTTTTAATATGACTTATAAGTGCTACTTAATTCGATGGCATAAACATCGTGTTTTTATTGGAAATCAATTTAAGGCACTGGTGAGCATATTTCACTATGAAAATAGCACTGAAATTTTGGCTACTTTGGAAACAAAATCGGTTTTACTTGGTTTTTTAAGGAGATACAAGTTGGAAATTCTATCGAACGAACTACCAGATGAAATTTATTTTCTTGCAGTCGGAGTTATACTACAAACTGAGAGACATCGAGGTAGAGGATAGTATCGACCAACATCAATATAACTAACTAAAAATAAACAATAACTTATTTTATTTCTAACAATTTTTACTTTTCAAATTCAGAAAAGAGGAAATACAATCGAATATACGCGTGAATATTAAAGCAAACTATGATGTACTTCATAACTTTTTGTTGAAGAACTGTTTCATATGATTCTGCTTAACGGCATTTAAGCGGTCAAGATATGATTATAGACGAAGAAGAGAAAGAAATTCACATCCTCAACATCAATGATTGTGTATTGTCAATTAACACCATAATTATCAGAATATCTTTTTCTTCGATTATATGATATGAGAAAAAAAGAAACGATGGCAGAACAGAAAACATACACCATAGATAGATATGTCATATGGATAATATCATCCTTCGACTTGTGACTGTTGTCAACCATTTTCCTTCATCACACTTCACATCAGTTTAGGGATATATAGAAAAAAAAAGATATGAAAATCAGTATAAAATATTATGTTTTTGATTGTATTATTTCTCTCGTCAATAAGATGCGCGTACGTGCTATTATTTGCCAGTCGTGTAGATGAAGAGAGAGCACATATCATTTTCTTCCCAGCATTGTATGTATAATCCACGTATTTGTGCGTAATTGTTATTACTCTATAAGAACAACGACAACATGCTATAAAGTATGTGGAATAGAAAGATATTTTTTCTGTCCGGGAATATGTTATACAGATCTTAATTGATAGTGATTCTATTGTCATATTATACTAACTATAGATTTAGATGCCACGCCAAGAAAAACAACATTAACGCAGACTCATTCAGATGAAAATACTTCATATACTACAATATATCGAAGATAAGTGTTGATGACGCTTGATAATAGTATATTCGAACAATAAGTCTTGAAATACAATGCAAAAATGAAAGTCTAGCAAGTTTGATTATAAACACTTACAAAAACGTTTGTTAATGGAAGGAGAATTAATCGTAAGGTTACGTACTGAAAAGCAATAAAAAAGACTAAACATAGATTCTTAAAGAAACAATTTCACGATAGTATATATTGAATATTTGGGGCACTGAACGTTCACCGCTAATTGACGAAGAATAAGAATTCCAAGTATATATCTATATCGGTCTCCACAAAAACCTGTAAGGTCTTATCGAATTCATGAACTTGAATATTATAAGGAATAAATCCTAGAAAAATTCGAAGCATTTGTTAATATATTCTACGCACAGAAACAAATGAAAACGAAATTGTAAATATATTATCAAATTGTGAAAGTTTTTGTATAAAAATAAAAGTAATTGATTTAAAAAAATCGTTTCTGAGATAAACCGAGATACTTCATTAATGCAAGATAAAAAACGATTAAAACTGTTAATGGATTTAACAATTGAAACGGACTACTGTATTGATTCATAATATATTGAAATTCTGTATAAAATTGTTCAGATTTTTCTGCACATTGTCGAAACCAAAACATATACCATTGCATAAATTTCATCAGAAGAGGTACCTGTAATTGATCACTTGCTGCTGCATCAAAATTACCATCTCGCTAACAAGTTTTGTTTGCATCATTTATATCAGTTTTGACAGCTTTTAATTTTGATGTTTTCAAATCACTTGCAGTCAATGCACGATGATTATATATATATATATATATATATATATATGAGAGATATCTTTTAATTCATAACGATTCTCTGCAAATATATTTCATAATTCTCTGGGTTGTCTACATGTATGTGTCATACCTTGACCAAATTGAGGACTAGCTGTGCATATTGCATCACTTAATAATATAAATAAAATTTCTACGCCATTTTTCTCCTAATACTTCAACATATTTTCGATAGTCAGTTGGAAGATTATATGAAATCAATGGTGTCATGGCATTCTGCCATGAGTCATGTGTATGTGCTCATGATGATTGAGTCATTTGCGTATGACTTGAGATTCTTGAGTCATATATGCAGTATATATAGGGAAAAGAGCGTTTATGCCGGGGTGTGTGATCTCTCTCTCTCTCTCTCTCTTGCTCGTTGATTCTACATCAATAAACATCACGATCTCTCTCTCTCACTGATTCGTTGTTTCTACATCGACAGTCATCACAATGGTGCACTGGCCGGTCTGCTGACCACTGAACAGCAGATCTGCTCTCTTCTTTAGCTTATGCTTGCTGCTGAACTTCGTCGTGCTCAACAACGTGCTGCTGCTCAAGCGCTCGAACGTGACCAACGTCTTGCTGCTCGTTCTCAATCTCTGCCTATATCTCCTGCAATCAATCCTAATCTTTCGTCATCGAATCCCTCTTCTTCTCTGGTCGGCATGGAAACCCAACAATACTCCAAGATTATTGAGAGTGTCCCTATTTTTTCTGGCTCTCCTCGTGAAAATGTTACTGACTGGCTCGCACTTGTCAATTTGAAATTTGATATGATTGGTTACACTGCTCTCCAGAAACGTCGTTTCATTCCACAATATCTACATGGTGATGCTCTTCGGTGGCACCTAGCTAATCGTGATCAGCTCGACGAATGGGACGCATATTCGATTGCTCTTGTTGAAGCTTTTCCTCATATCGAAACCACTTCTCGTGACATGAACTTAAAACTACTTCGAGATCGTAAACAAGGCAGTACTGAATCTTTTACGGATTATTATGCTTCCATTCTCGATCTTTGCCGTAAACACAATGCCGATATGACTGATCTTCAAATCCTTGATTGGATCAAAGCTGGTATGAGTCTCAACTTGTATGAACGTATTCAAGGAGAAGAATTTGTTCACCCTCATGCTCTGCTTCGTCGTGCTCAACGTCTCGAACTTGATAATGCTGTTCTTGATGCTCGTAAAAAAGAATCCACTACCACTAGTCCTTCAAAGAAGTCTTTTTCTCCTCATCGCTCTTCTACCTGGTCTCCCTATTCGTTACCATCGCCACCTCCATTCACATCCTCATACCTACCACCACTTATGTCACCTAATCCTGCATCAACCTCCTATTCACCCAGTGCTTTTCCATCACCTGCTGCAAATTCCACCTTCTCTTCTCCTAATTTTGATTCTGATTTGTCAGCCCGTCCTCGACGGCCTATTATTTGCTTCTCCTGTCATCAACCCGGTCATATTTCTACACAATGCCCGGTCAAACCTGTTATTTGCTATACTTGTCATCAACCTGGTCATATTGCCCCTCATTGTCCATCACGCCCAAACGTCTGAGGGAGGCTCGTGATGGTCGATCCTCCTCTTTTTCTACTAATCCATCATTAATCATTATTCCCACTCATATTTCTGGTTTATCAGTTTGTGCGATGATTGATACTGGTGCTACTCATACTTTAATTACTCGTTCCCTTCTTGATACTCTTACTGATGTCCCCTTCACCAAAACCACTTCGGTTTCTGCTTTGCCTGGAGGTGCCTCCA